GTGCAGAAGCACTTCGTCTCCTTCAGAGTGTGAGACCGCCCCACACTGCTATAAGTGTGAGATTGTCATATGTGAAGCTATAGGCTGGATGCAGAAAAGCACTGGCCAGTAGCTTGGGGAGACAGCCGGGCCTGGGTTGTGATGTGTTTTTTAGGCTGAATGCCTGGTGATAAAAGGTTCTGGGTAATTTTTGGGATAACAAGGGGAGTGGCAGGCACGAGTGTGTCTGTCCATTGTTGAACTGTGAGTTTGGGCAATTTTTTGTTTTATGAGCTCTGAGAGATACAGATTGGCTTGATGAGCAGGAGATAGAAAAAGAAAAGCCTATTCAGGGATCCCAATTGAACAAGCACGTCCCATATCTCCTGACCAATTGTAGAAGGATCAAACAAATTGAAAAAAATCACACAAATTGGAAAAATTGAAGAAATCAAAACAAGAATTAAAATAGAAGACTGCTGACTGACTCCAGTGACTGACTTTTACTTCAAACACGTGTGAAAGGGTATACCATTGTGTGATGAAAAAGTGAAGTGTGCGGGTTGATTGGATGTTTGTGTGTGTCTGTTTTGTTCTGTGTCAACTAAGTTCTCTGGCAGTGTTCACAGCCAGACTCTGCATCTGTGTGTGTGTTATGCTAGTCAAAGATTGCTGTGTTTTCCTCACTTGTGTTTATTTCATAGTTGTTTATGTGAATACTGTGCTCATTGCGGTCATGTTATCAGTTGAGACATAGAAGGTTAAACACTCCTGGGAAAGAGGTTCTGTTCCTAGTACCATGATGAACACTCCTGGTATGAAGGTTTTAGCTTATGCTCAAATATTATGGTTTTCTGTTGTGAACACATGTCTTATGCTCCTTAACAAATGTTCTGTGTTAAAGCTGCTGAAATAATGTTTGTAAAAGTATAAAAGATACAAAAAGGGGAAAAAGAAATGAGGTACCACAAGTGCAAAACTTCAAAAACTTCAAATCTAAGAGTTGCTTCTATACATCTGCTGTTTTTGCCAAAATACTGTGTTTTTTAAATATATTGAAGCTGCTAATATCAATACTGACTATTGCTATAGAACTTCAGTTAAGGCAAAAGCTTTATACTGTGTATTTTTGGGAATTTTACAAAACTGCTGGGGATCAAGTTTTGATGTGTGTGCTCATTTGAATAATAAATTTTACAAAAACCATGATCAGAAAGGGAAGATTAGTTTAACTCCAATTGCACTGGTAGGGTGTAAATATCCTGATCACTTAAAAATATCCAAAAACTTACAAAGAAATGGGAACATTGAGTCAAGGGGTTTGAATTTTTATGACCTAGGGGAGGCACATCTGATGTGGCTGTGTGTGAGGATTTGGAGCAGCGAATCTAAGGCCATAAACACAAAGATAAAGTAAAACACGCAAAAACAAGAGATATGGAACTGAAAGTACTGGACATGTTCAAAGATTTGTGTCATTTTCATACTTTAGATTATTTGTTTTTTCTTAATCATGCTCTGATCTTTTGAACTAATAAATAAAAATAGAATAAAAAAACTAATTTTTTTCTATCTTAGGTTGCCTTAAAACTTATTTTTTTTATTTACTCATGTCATTTGAATTTCCAAATGATTCATAATCACTGCTATTTTTGTCCCATATGTTTTGAAAAGGTAATTGACAGTTTTCGTGAAATTGTGGCCGTGGAAAACCACACACCTTGTTGGGCTGATTGCCAGACTACCACAAACTGAACAGGGGGCAGGGAGATGGATATTGTTTTTTGAGGATGAACTGTAAAGAAAATGTTGACTACACCAGACATGAAAGCACTCTTGGCTCAACTGCTGGGAACTAAGATGATGGAGGAGTTTCTGCGCAAGGCAAAACAAGGTTGGATGACGAATCCCATGATAGATGGGAGTGAGTTCAATGCATATTGTGATGTGATGTGGAGGGTGCTGCCAGATGAAGAGCGGAGACCGAAAGAACAGGAAAAGAACATTCAGCGGAAGCTGAAACAGCCACCTCTAAGGGGGACACTGCAAAAGAGACCCAGCAATGCAGACCGTGCAGACGCTAACTGCGGTAAAGCCTGTGACAGTAACCTGTTTAATCACCTGTTGTGAATGTTTATCCTCAGACAGAACCCTGCTCCATAGAGAGGATATATCCCGGCAGGGGGAGAGAGTGGAATTCTGACGGACGTGTGACGTCTATAGACCTGCTGGGGATGTGATCATACTGGACATTTTTGACAACTGCCTAGACCAGGGACGCCTCTGGCTGGAGCTGTGGTGGGGGGCCCCAGCCCAGACAATGTGAAAGTGGTGGCTTACTACAGTGTGATTTTTGTGGATGATGGAAAGAGTTAATTGTTAGTTTTAATTTTAACCCTGTTGACCTTATAGACCAAAGAGCCCTATGTAGAAGTAACATTCAAATTTGGTGCTCACCGCAAGGTGTGTAAGTAGACAGTTATGGTTTATAGTTTTAAGTAAATATCGTGACATTAGCATTGTAACATTCCTGTTCTGTTAGTTTAATATTGATAAATCTAAATGCATCTAAATCCACATACACTCCTCACAGATGTGCCACCTAATGTAAAAGTAATAGGAAGCTATCAAAGGTCAATAAGGCCACAGAAAATGGTTTAGAGTCAAATAACTAGTTTTTGTACCAGTAGTATTAACAAACAAACTTAGGATCTGACTTTCACAGTGATTCACACTGTGCAAGGGGGGAGATGATGAGACAATTAAAACGACATTTTTAGAATATGCTTACTAGTAATGAATACTATACTATTCATTTAGTAATCTCTGCCAGGGTCAAGACGAACCTAAACAAAGTGTCGTGGGGCAGACATGTCATCATGAGGGGCCTTCTGGAGAATACACACACACACACACACACACACACACACACACACACACACACACACACACACACACACCTAACAGCATAAAAGAGAGAAGAAGAGAAGCTAGAGGAGGCTTCCTTGGGTCTTGGTCGAGACTCTGTTTGTCATCTGTACTGATTTCTACATCTGTACTATTAAAGACGCCCCAGGCTGTTCTTCAGATCTCATCATGTCTCCTGTGCATTGATTATGCTGGACTTTCCACAACAACAGTCCTGTGCTGCTACTGTTGGCTGCATTATTCACTGCACCAATAAGGTCTGAACCACTCAAGTGAGATTGTGGAATCTCACAGTCCAGCAGGTCTTTGGCTCGATCTCACAGTGCTTGATGTCTGCGGATCTCTGTTGCCTTCAGCAGTGTCTTCCAGGAGTCTAGTCTGTGGTGACAGGAGAGAGAGAGAGAGAGATTTTGATTTTTGAATCCACTTTATTTGTCGCTCTTTTTCAAAAAAGAGGTCAATTCAAAATAATCAATCAAACACACTCAAAAATGTTTTGACAGATTCACAGCAGCGGGCAGACTCCCCCCCCCAGGAGCGGCACCAGGCTGCTGTTCTCCTTCCTTCTCCGTACAGGAGTGAATCAGGTGCCCCTCTGCACCACAACCAAAACACTTGCAAACACAATATACACAAATCCCTCAACGTTAAATGAAAAAGACAGGTTTAAGTCATTATTTTCTTTTAAGACCATGTACACCTGTCTTCTGTGACACACCACATGTTTCAGTTTTGGTGATTTACACCCCAGAGAGACCATTTTTAACGGAGACACCAGTTTTCCATACCTGGACAGTTCTTTCGCTAACATTTCATTTTTTATGAACAGGGGGGCATTTGAAATTGTAACTTTTGTGGCTGGGCTAACGAGGGGGAGACAGGAGTGAAGGTGTCATGAATGACCACTCCTCTATCCACCACCTCGTTAACCAGCACCGTGCTACTCAAAAAAATTACAATGGCCCCGTTCATTCAGGAGGCAGATTTCACTGAATCATACCCAACCACCTCTCCTACAGCCAGGCTGGCTTCTTCCACCGAACACTGCACCGCGGGGTGAAGCTTGATGGCATGACGGCAAGTCAGCTTCTCAAACTCTGCCACCGGCATTGTGCTTTGTTTAGCAAGCCGACCAACAAACAAAAGCACTCACACGCGCAACAAAACACAGCCCTCTAAACACCAAATGATAGATAAACAACTCATTAACACACTCACACCAAAACAAAAGAGAAATAAATTCTCAAAACTCACAAAAAAATTTAATCAAAATTCGGTTCGCTCTCAGCTCCTCACTCACACGCCATCTTAGTCAGAGAGAGAGAGAGAGAGGGAAAGAGAGAGAGAGAGAAAGAGATTTTTGATTTTTGAATTCACTTTATTTGTCGCTCTTTTTCAAAAAAGAGGTCAATTCAAAATACTCAATCACACACACTCAAAGAAATTCATAAATGAATAAATAAATATTCACATGAGCACATCTTCAAACTGTAAAATATTTCCTGCTATTGAGCACAACACCTGATTAAAACCCCAAACCTGCTGGAATGAGTCCAGATCTCCTCCTGCTTTGTAAAAATTAAAATCAACGAGGCGCTGGACTTTTTTTTACACACAATGACCGGATCAACAATAAAACCATCCTCCACCTTCCTCCTGTGGCTAAAATACACTGCCATCTTGGCCTGTCCTAAAACAAAGTTTAAAAGCTGGCACTTGTTTTTGTGCTGGCGAGTGTATTTAAAACCCAGAATAAAAACCCGCTTGTTAAAAACTTCTCCACACTTGGTAAAAACAGTTTGTAAAAACAGAAACAAAGGTAAAAGACGCAGACATTCATAAAAACAGTGAAAAATTGTCTCTCTCTTGGGGCAGTAGGGACATGTTTCCTCTACTGCCGGGTTAATGTTCGATATAGAAGAGTTCACTGCGATGACCCCATGGAGGACTCTCCAGTGAACATCTGCATGTCTTTTTGAGAGTGAAGGTTTGTAGAAGGCCCTCTACTCAGGCCTGGTCTCAGGAGCCAGGCGCAGATAGTTCCTCCATGTGGTGTCAAGTCTTTTGTCCAGTTTTTTTCCTGTTTTTTGTTTTTACCATGATTTTGTTTTTCCTGGTGTGCCCTCCAAAGGGGCAGGGTGGTTAAAATCCAACAGCGGGCCAGAACAGTCTTTAAAATCCGGTGCCAGGAAGATGGCAGGAAAGGGGTCTTCTTCAGTCACTGTCTGGTTAAAAGGGGAGTTTAAAAGCAGGAGGTCATGTCCTGTGAGTCTCTGTCTCCAGTGGTCCAAGAGTTTTTGTGTGACCCTCATCGATGAAAGTCCTAGCCGGGCAGCGAGTCCATTCGGGGTCGTCCATTCGGGGTCGTCCATTCGGGGTCCCGTCAGCTCCACCACCTGCCCCAGAGTGACAATCCCCGCCGTCTGCAGTCTTTTCTCCAGACTCTGACCTGCCCAGCTAGGAAGGTCTAAACAAGTCCCCCACAGGACCGGTTCCTGCAGGAGCCAGTGTGTAGAGTCCACCTGGCCCCTCCTCTCCTTCATCAGCAGGCTCCAAACCTTAAAAACACTTTGATAAAAAGCAGGCAGAGAATATGTGCTCATGTTCTGAGGGGTTTGAGTTTTGAAGTTTATTTCGATCTGGTCATATCCATTCAATAAATACAGTAAATTACAAGAAAAGAAAACCGGACCGAAAAGGCATAGGCTGAAGCAAGAGCTTATTAACGCCTATCCTTCTTACTAAATCAAACTAGACTTCCTGTGTGTGACGCCGGTTGGTGAGCAGACGCCGGTTTTGACAGCTCTCGAAAACTTTGCCCAAAATCTCACAAAAACTGTGCTACAATCATTGGATTCAGTTGTTTTATTTATTTATTTTTTACTCTATCTTTTAACCGGGCCAAGAATTTTAAATCGGATTTTAAGCTGCTTTTAAATGAACTGATTCGCCGGTTTTTATGTAGCCGGCGGTTAAAGCTGCTTACCTCTGCTCACTGAACCTTAAACCATGGAAACACTCACCTCCTCACACGAGTGCAACAGCTGCCTCAAAAAATCCAAAACTATCGCTGAGCTGGAACGACGTATTTCCAGCCTCCACTGGATCCGCAACGAGGAGTCACTCCTGGACTCGATGTTGACGCTGGGTGCGGGCCTCCCTGTGAACCCAGCCGAGTTGGACTCCACCATCCCGGCAGCCGCTGCTCCGCAGGCTCCACCGGCCCCAGCGAGCGCTGCTGCCTCTGGCTCCCCACCTTCCACCGCGGAGGCTCCTGCTGAGCCGGCTCATCCTCAACCCGGGGACCCTTGGCTGACTCAGGGGGCAAGGCCAAAGCGAGTGCCGGCTCCCGCACTGGACTTCACTCCTCACCCGAGGTTCAACATTCGGAGTTCCACCCCACGGTCAACAGCGGCTGCAAAGAGGAGGACCAGCCTGAAACCACTGAAATCCCACTTCGATCTCCAGCTGTCCTCAAGGTACGATGTACTCAGTGTTGCGGATTTTCCTCCGCTGCCAGGAAGGCCGGATCCGGGCCCAGCTGATGTCGGACGAAGCGCAGCCTCACCTCCGTCTTCTGCTGGGAACGAGGAGGTGAACGGAGGTATGCACACGGGGCCTCGGCGCCCCCCTCCTCCCCCCCGTCATGCATACTCCTCGACCCGGTGCAAACCGTTCAGGAAACCTCTGCGAAGGCACTCCGCTGGGAACAGAGGTTCTCCGGCCCCCACCTGCGCACCACCGCCACCGCCGCATCCTCGCCCACTGTTCCCGCCGACCACGGCAATCATCGGAGACTCCATCGTGAGGCACGTCCGTTTTTTTAACGCAGTAACCCACTGCTTCCCAGGCGCCACTGTCCCAACTCTCCTCCATAAACTCCCGGAGCTGCTGGGCTCACTCCCATCCTCCATCACGAGGCCGGTTTTACACCTGGGTTTTAACGACACTTCCTCCCGTCAGTCTGAGGTGACCAAGGACTATTTTAAGAAACTTTTTAAGGTTCTCACCGACTGTGGTAAGTCTGTTTTTATCTCGGGGCCCCTCCCCTCCTTCGACCGTGGCATGGGGCGCTTCAGCAGACTCCTCAGCCTGAACACCTGGCTCCATTCCGCCTGCCCTTGCGGGTTCCGTTTTATCGACAATTTTAACTTGTTTTGGAACCGCTCCCCGTTCTACAGGGCTGACGGAGTCCACCCCTCTCGCCTGGGCAGCAGGGTGCTCGGCGACAACATTCGACATGCTGTCCAGTCCACATACACACCTACACACACACCCACACACACACCTGACACACACACGTGACTGATTTCCCCCTCTTCCTCTGTGTCACTGTCCCAAGCCACTACCGCCACCACCAGCCCCCCCTACCGCCCACCCCCAGTACTACACCTTACCACTGCCACTTCTCCTCCAATCTCATCCTCTGCCTGCATACAGTCAGTTTCACCTACACTTCACTCACAGTTCACCCCCATATCCTGCATCCCAGTCAGAATCTCACACCAAGCCCACAGAACATTCCCTTCATGGACCATCAACTTAACTCCAGTCACACTGGCTCCCATTTCACCACTGCCTGAGGATGAGCGCACGCTCGGCACAAACACTAATATGGCCGTGCTGAACGTGCGCTCGCTTTTAAATAAGACGTTTATCATCCATGATCTGATTTTAGACAATAATTTAGACATTCTCCTTTTAACAGAGACATGGCTTGGCACTGATGCTTCAATTGTTCTCACCGAGGCTTGCCCCCCTAATTTTAATTTTTTATTTTCAACAAGGGGGGGTAGAAAGGGAGGAGGCACTGCCTCAATATTTAAAAACAAATTGTGCCCAAATGAAGTTTCTTTTAACAGTTTTACATCATTCGAATACCACGCATTTGTTTTTAGCAGTCCTCCTACTCTCTGCATTACAATTTACAGACCACCCCACTACTCCAACTCTTTTATCAGCGAATTTTCTGATCTATTATCCATTTTACATACTACTCATAACAGGATTTTAATAACTGGTGATTTTAACTTGCACATTGATACAGCGTCTGATCCAATGTCTAAGGAGTTTTTAAACCTTTTAAATTGCATGGGTTTTAAACAGCATGTGGCACAGCCGACTCACAACAGAGGGCACACCCTGGATTTGGTCATAACTTCCGGCCTATCCACTGGTGTGTCCTCTGTTGTCGACCTGGCTGTGTCGGATCACTACTATGTGTATTTTAATATCACCAGTTTTAACCATCAGGAGGCCCCGGTGAGAACGGTGAGGAAACGCTACCTAACCCCCGAAGTGGCTGCAAATTTTATTGGGATTTTACAGAGCACTCCTGCCGCAATTTTACCTGCACCATGCGATTTTATTGTGGACCATTTTAACAGAACATTAAAAACCACATTGGACACAGTGGCTCCACCCGTAATTAAAACTATTAAAACAAAACCCTTACCCCCATGGAGAAAAAACAACGAAATCAGAAACACAAAGAGAAAATGCATGAGTGCCGAACGCAAATGGAGAAAAAACAAATTAACAGTTCACCTCGAAATACTACAGGACTCACTCAAAAAATACAACAATGCAGTAAAAAAGGCAAGAACAGCCCACTTTTCAAAACTCATCACAGACCATAAAAACAATTCCAAATTCCTCTTTTCCACCATCGACCTTTTAACAAACTCCCATTTTAAAAAATCTTTTAAGACCCCCACAGACGCCCTCTGTGAGGACTTTGCAGACCACTTCGGGAGCAAAATTGATGATATTAGATCTAGTCTTTTAACTCATCAGAATGTGATTTCCAACACATCTGAACAGCCGATTTTACCTGAGGAAACACTGGAGAGTTTTGCCCTGGTTGACGCAAGGACACTTGGTCGAGTTTTCTCCCAAGTAAACCCAACTACCTGCCTTTTAGATCCGATTCCCACATCATTTTTAAAAACATTTTACGAATTTTTTGAGGAACAGTTTTTAACCATAGTAAATTGCTCTCTTCAGACAGGGGTCTTCCCCACTGCCTTTAAAACGGCGGTGGTGAGGCCCCTTCTGAAGAAGAGAAATTTGGATACTGATGTTTTTAATAATTATCGACCCATATCCAACTTACCGTTTTTAAGTAAAATCTTAGAAAGACTGGTTTTTAACCAAGTAAATTATTTCTTAAAAAGTAATAATATCTTAGAGAAGTATCAATCCGGTTTTAGGATGAACCACAGTACCGAGACAGCCCTTTTAAAGATTTTAAATGATATCAGGTGTAATGCCGATAAACAGAAACTCACAGTTCTGGTACTACTGGATCTAAGCGCTGCCTTTGACACAGTAGATCACCAGATTTTATTAAGCAGACTCAGGCACCTGGTGGGCCTCTCCGGTACTGTTTTTAACTGGTTCAGTTCTTATCTCTCGGAACGATCCTTCTTTGTAAGTATGGATACCTGTTCCTCAAAAACTCATGAAATTAAGTGTGGGGTGCCCCAAGGGTCAATTTAAGGTCCAATACTTTTTAATCTCTATATGCTTCCCCTTGGGGACGTCATCAGGAGACACGGCATCAGCTTCCATAGTTACGCTGACGATACACAGTTGTACATTGCCGTGTCTCCTGAGGACACAGGGCCTATTGATGCCCTTTTTAACTGCATTTTAGATATCAAGTCATGGATGGCAGAGAATTTCCTACAGCTCAACCAGGACAAAACAGAAGTTTTAATTATTGGTCCTGAAGGCAAGAGAGAGAAACTTTTACCAAAACTACAAGATTTTAAACCTGCTCAATCTGTTAAGAATCTGGGCGTAATTTTTGACTCTGAGCTGAATTTTATTCCACATATCAAGAACATAACAAAGATAGGTTTTTACCATCTTAAGAATATAGCCAGAGTCCGCCCGTTTCTCTCTCAGGCCAACACGGAGGTGCTGATGCATGCTTTTATTTCTAGTCGTTTAGATTACTGTAATGCCCTGCTCTCTGGTCTTCCCAAATAGACCACTCACATGTTACAACTGCTACAAAATTCTGCAGCACGTGTGCTGACGAGGACCAGAGGGCGGGAGCACATTACACCGGTTTTAAAATCCCTGCATTGGCTCCCCGTGTGTTTCAGGATCGATTTCAAGGTTCTTTTAGTAGTTTTTAAGTGTCTTAATGGTCTTGGCCCATCTTATTTAACTGAACTGCTTTTATCTTATCAACCCTCGCGTACCCTGAGGTCCTCTGGCGCCGGCCTTTTAGTTGTTCCTCATACAAAAACCAAAACTCACGGAGAGGCTGCCTTCAGCCATTATGGCCCAAAGTTATGGAACAGCCTGCCAGAGAACATCAGGACCGCAGAGACTGTTGATGTTTTTAAAAGGAGGCTCAAGACCCACCTTTTTAGTTTGGCTTTTAGCTGATTTAACTGTTTTAGTTTATTTTATCCTTTACTTTTGTCACATTTTTATGTCACTTAGATATTCTAACATTATTCTAATTTAGTTTTAGTTTATTTTATCCTTTACTTTTATCACATTTTTACGTCATTTAGATATTTTAATATTATTTTAATTCCTTCTATGTCCTAGTCTTTTTAGCTCCAGAGTTTCCTCGTGGGGGCCCTCCACACTGGGAGGTATGTCTGGTCCGGCCCCGGGGGGCGCGGTCCTTGGGATCGTCCAGGCCCGGACGGTTAGGGGGCTCTGCACTATGTGCAGGGTGCACCCGGGCTGTCTGGGTCGGGGGTCTCGGGGGCGGTGCTCCCTGTGGGGGTGGGCTGTGGCTCCTCTCGGTGTGGACGGCTCCCATAGGTGGTCTTTCCTTACCAGAATCATCAGTGCCTTGCCATGTTTTTACTGACAGTTACTGTGTGGGTGTGTGGATACGTGTGTGCGTGTATGTGTGTGTGGGGTGGGCTGCTGTGCATGCCTGTATGTGCTGCTGTGGGTGGGAAGGGACGGGTTTTATGCCTATTTAAGTGCCCTATATTTACTGTTGTTTGTTTTGTTTGTTCTTTTTTTTAACGTTGTTTGTTTTTACCTCTTTGTAAAGCACTTTGTGTTGCAGCTTAAAAGCATGAAAGGTGCTATATAAATAAAGTTTGATTGATTGATTGATTCAAATTTTAATATTATTATTCCACACGTTAGATAGAAAACAAAAACAAAACATAACAACAAAACAAAGAACAAAA